TTTTTTTTTTTTTTGCCGGCTTAGCCCACCCTGAGGGCAAGGCTGGCAAGACATGTGGTGCTGGAGGGGGGATTTAACCATGGTTCCCTGCAGCTGCTTAAGCTTGCCTCAGCACATTAGACAGCTGAACTATCTCACCGGCCCCAGTAGTCATATTTCTTTGAAAAAATACTATTTATTTATTTTGGAACTGGGAATTGAACTCAGAACCTCAAGCTTGACAGGCAGATGCCATGCTGCTGAGCTACACCCCGGCCCATCATATTCCTTTGTACTTGCATGAATGAGTTTAAAACTTATGTCCACACAAACCTTGCATGGAGATGTTTATAGTAGCTTTATTTATAACTTGGAAAACTTGGAAGGAGCCAAGATCTTCAATGGTTGCATGGATAAGTATACTGTGCTACATCCATACGATGGAATATTATTTAACACTAAAAAGAAATGCTCTATGAAGGGCTGGCGAGATAGCTCAGTGGACAAATGACCTGCTTAGGCAAGCACAGGGATCAGGGATTGATCCTCAGCACCACATGCCATGCTGGCCCTGCCCCCGGGTGCACTGAGCACACACCTGCAATCCCAGCGCTGGGAAGGCTGAAAACAGGAGGATCACTATGAGTCTGAGGTGCATAGTGAGACCCTGTACCAAATACATAAAATGCCCAACTCCTACAAGGAAAAGGAGAAGAGTTTTATTTTGGCTCACATTTCAGACCACAGTTTGCTGGCTCCAGTGCCAGGTGGTGTGGCACAGGAGCCTGGTAGACCCACAGCTCCCTAACTCATGGCATCTAGGAAGCAGAAAGCCAGGGAGGAGCCAGGAAGGTAGACAGACCCATTGAGGTCATGCCCAGCTACCCACTTCCGCTGCCCAGACCCTACTTCCTAATACTACATTTACCATAAGTTCATCAGTGGACTAAGCCACAGAGAATATATTTAGCAGGGCCGGGGAGATGGCTCAGTAGAATAAGCGCTTCCCTGGCAAGTGCAAGGGTCTGAGCTCAATCCCAGTTCTGCAAAGATTGAATGGAAATAATCCGAAACTCTTAAC